CTAATCAAAACATCCGAGAATTAATATCGAACTATCACAAATTCACACTGAACACTTCATTAGGATCATTCCTAATCACAATGCTATTTCTATCAATCTCCACGTTATCAAATATCTCCAAATCCGTTCTTATATCACAAACTAATCATTTAAATTCCCGTTAAATGTTGGCCCTCGGGATGTGAACAGTAACCGGTGAACAGTGCTGGTGAACAGTGACCCCGACGTGAACAGTAATTCCAACTTTCACAAATTGGCCAAAACACTAGCTAATTCCACAGGATTTTCCTCCAAAAATCACAACAATCAATTAACACTCGATCACATAAATCCCACTTGAATTAATGCTTAAATCTCATCTAATTACTATCAATTTTCTCCCCTATTTCCAGCAGATTTTCGAACACACAAATCAGCAAATAAATGGACAAATTCGGGGCTTGGAGGGGCTGTCAACATACCAGAAAATCCAGCTAAAACCGGAGCTGCAGGGGGAAAAGAGGCCGGCGGCAAATCTGCAGGGAACTCACGGGTTCACCCAAAATTGAAGGAAACAAGAGCAATCAAAGTTAACCCAAGCCAATTCAAGCAAGAACAAAGGAAATTAGGGGCTGTTCTTACCGAAAAATGCCCAGAAATCACCCACAATCAAGAGCAGCCGGCGGAAGGACAAAGCAGAGCAGGGCAGATCCGGCTTTTCCAGCAGAGGAAGGAGATTTCTGGGTTCAAGAACAAGAAAAGGAGGAGAAATCCAAGCTTGCTCACCGGTTTCTCAAGGCTGGTGCCGGCGGCTTGCTTGGTTCCTTCTTTTTTTTTTCTTCGGGCTGCAGCGGGAAGCAGAGCAGAATCGGGTCTGAGGAGGAAGAAAAGAAAGAAAGAAAAAGGAGAAAAAGAAAAGAAGTCATCCTTATCCAAATTCTTTCCTCCTTTAAGTCCCTCAACTTTCAAGCTTTTGGCTATTAAACCCAAAACAATATTTTCTCACACAAAAACCCTTACTTAAATGCTAAAATAGGACAAAATTTTGGGGTATTACATGACGGGAGGCAGAAAGAGAGGAAGAAAGGAAAAGAAAGAGAGGAAGAAGAGGAAATGAGGAAACGGAAGAGAAGTGGTGATATATATAAGACATATACGGACCGAAACCGGTCCGTATAATCCTCAATGGCGCGCGACACCAAAAAATTTCAATTTTTTCGGAAAAATTCCAATTTTTCCGGGAAATTTTTTGGCGCATTAATCATATTCAGACCGAAATCGGTCTGAATATAAATAAATTACCGCAGAATCAATAAGATTCAAATCAACGGTAAAAATTTGGCGCATAAATTAATTACGGACCGATTTCGGTCCGAATATATTCATAAAAAATCTTCCAGCACACATTTTTGTTCTTTTCATTTAAGGACATGACCATCTTCTCGTGATCTAAATCCATTGGAATATACGGACCGATCCCGGTCTGCATATATGCAAAAAATCGAGAAGCTTCCATGCTTTTCATTTTTCAGACCGATTTTGGTCCGAATATAGTAGAAAAAATCCAGAAACTTCTTCCAGTGCACATTTTTATTCTTTTCATT